TAAGTACTTATTTAGGGGCTGAGGAACGCGCCTACTTTTAAATCTATCTCTCTATATGTAAAAGAAAGTTGTGTTAGTTACTACTCTTATAACATAAAGACCGCAGGTCTGATTTTAACGATTTAGACAAATTCGGAATTGCCTCTTGGCAGAAAAGAATAAAATCCAAAAAAATCGCGTAAAAATGTGAAATTTGAACATTTTCATTTCGACTTTTAAAATGTACAATAGTAATGTTTTATATTGCATATTTTTTTCCAATTTGACTTACTATTTTCGAATGTACATTTGTAGTGTTTTTTTTTAATTCTAATATGATGTGTAGGTTTTTTTGGGTAGTATAAAGCCACAACGGATAAAACTGTTATTTAAAGATTTTATGTATTTATTCGTAATACCGAATAAATACATAAAATCTATTAATAACAATTTTATTCGCTGTCGCTTTATATGAAAATTCTAAAATCGAGAAAAATCGACAATTTTCCAATGGAATCTAATTTCATAATAATAGTACATTCTACCGACAAATTTCGTAAGGACCTTTAAAAATTTGCTGCAAAAAAAATCAGCGAACCAGTTGAAGATTCTTTTTCTTTTTTCTATATTGAAGTGTACATTTTTTTATTGGTTTGAATTCTGAATGAATAGTATTAAAAATGAAATGAGGGCGCAATACGATGTTAAATGCTTTCTACTCCAGGACCTATATCGTGCTTCAGCTGGAAGATGCGAACACATTTAAACAAACAAAAATGACTAAAGAAGCGTTATGGGGCTAATTTCAAAAAGTGGACCTACTTCTTTCAATAAATTGTCAAATGAGAACACAAAATGCAAAATACATTGGGACTGCAATCAGTCAAACGCCGACTATAAAGAACGCAAAATAGAAATTCTACCTAAACATTCAAGATACCTTTAATCGCTTTGCCAGGTCATGATATGGATCATAACCTCTGATAACGGAACAACCCGATTTCAAGTATATTCTACATTTTAACCATATTTTTCGTACTAATTTTAGCTTATGTTGATAATTTAAGAAGAAACCATCTTTGCAAAAAATTATTTGACATCTTTGTTTCTAAGGGGGACGAAAACCTCTTCTTATAATTTTTTATTTTTCGGAAAAGCGCGCATCTTAGTCTTGAGGCTACCTGGGGTAAAAAACCCTGGAGTGGAAAATCATCTTACAGATAATTATCCTCATATGAATTTATTTAAGTATAGTCCCCACATTAGTATACCCCCAAGTCCACTTTCCCAACCAATGTGTGGTCAGAAAAGAAAATTTGGTATTCTATTGAATTTGTAACCCCCAAGAGAATATTGGTTGGGAACGTAGATTTGGGATGTACGTCTATATGAAATAAACTCCGAAATGTCAATCTGGGACTCATTCAGTCGGAAATTGTGGCAGAAACATGAAAAAAATACGAAATTATAAAGGAACTTTATTGGATCTCCACCGCAAAATTTAAATGACAAACAATTAATGTCCATCTTCCGGTAATCGGAGCAAAAGAGTAATTTTTTGGCTATTCTGACTACATTCGGCCTTCAAGTATGAGGTGGACAAAACTGAATACCACGCAGTACGGGATTTTAAACGTTGGAAATACAAATTTCAAATTATAGCTCATTTGAATGCTTTTTACAATATCAAAAATTGAGCTGAATTTTCACATGGGGCTATTATAGATGTTCTTTATCATATAGGTATTTAACACTCAAATTAAAGCCTATAGCTGAAAAATAAGATCAGGCTCTTCAAAATATCTAAAACCGACGGTAATTATAATTTTTGCCATGAATATTAATTTATATTTAGTCATGGAGTCATTACTCATAATCAAGTCATTACTTATAATCAAAATTGGAGTAGTTATAATGGCGTCATTACTTATAATCAAAATTGTGCCGCCTACATAAGTCAGATCTGTGATTTATTATGCTTTAAAGACTAAAAGTACGGGCCGGCAACGCGGACCGGGCCAGCTAGTTTGATATATATTCCAAAACAAATTATGTCAATATTATCAGCAACTAATTGCTGTACAGAATATATATTAAACATTTGGCGGCAATCTCGAGGAGATAAAGAAGTATCAGATATCTGATCTTAAGAACGGGCAACAGTGTTCCTGACTACTGTAGAATATGTGAAGATGAATAAGAGGTAGAGATAATTGAACAACTACTATGCAGAAGTTCCATGTTATCCAAGAAGAGACATAGGCTATTTGGCAGATGGGAGATGGTCACTCTAACGTTCTTCTCAGACATAGATTCCATCATAATTTATATGTTTGTCAAAGCAGACCATCCTGTTATCATACCTCTTTTTATACCCTCCACCAAAAAAAGTATGGAGGGTATATTAAGTTCGTCATTCCGTTTGTAACTCATCGAAATAATCATTTTAGACCCAACAAAGTATATATATTCTTGATCAGCGTAAAATTCTAAGACGATTTAGCCCTGTCCGTCCGGCTGTCCGTCTGTTGTAATCACGCTAAAATTTTGCACAGATCTCTCTTTTGTCTGTAGGCAGGTCAAGTTCGAAGATGGGCTATATCTGTCCACGATATCGTATAGCCCCCATATAACGGTACCCCCGATATTCGGTATTTTGATGATGTTAGCCACATTTTTCAATGGAATTGTCTGTGAAGTTATGCACAGATTGCTATTGCAAAATTTGCAAAATGAGACATACGACGAGATAGCCGTGAACCCATCATAAATATAAATGATATTGATTCAGAATTGTGTAAGTTATGACAATTATCTAAATCTGAACCGATATAATCCAAAACTTGTATTTATTAATTACATTGGACAACCACTTCTATTTATGTCCTTCCAAGTACCCGCAAATATTTTACGACAAGTAACATCAAAAGCAAAATGACGCATGGAACATCCACTTTTTACACATTGCTGACATCATTTCAAATCTTTTAATCTTCATTTCTAAACAAACCTTTAAACGAATTCAGCAACTTTTTGTAGGCGTTGCTTTGGACAAGCAAACGACAGAGCAGCGAATCGCAACAAATGCAAAAAGGGATCAAAGTTGAAATTTAAATTACAATGATGTGTACCAATATTACTACTATCGGATCTGTAATCACTAGACGAAGGCATGCTGTCAGACATGCCACATATCTGCCGACATTAATGCGGGTTGTTTTGAATTGTGTAAATGTCTTATTAAGTGAATTAACATTTGAATTCACTTAAAACGAAAGTTGCCATTCCCGGGTGGAAAGACGTGACTTTATATGAGGATTAAACAAATCATCAAAAATATCACTAATTTTCGGTATAGCTAGCGGGTAGAATAGCAAATTAAATGCATGGAAGTAGGATTGATGAACATCTTCGAAATATGAACACTTGGATTGTTGATACATCGATACAGTAACATGCTTCCAAAAAGCCCAGTTCAACATAGAATTATATAAAAATTCCTTCATAAAAGAGACGTGGGAAACTTCAGCAAATGCTTGGAAATGAGAAAATGTCAAGCATTTCATTGCGTACTGTAACGTAATTGCAAAGTTTAATCCAATAGATATATTGAATATACTTCAAGGTAAACGTATCATTAGTGCTGAGTGAGTGACAGACGGACCAGAATAAAGGTGGGAATAAATACATAAAGCTCCTAATTGGCTGGCTTATGTCATCGACAGGCTTCTTCGTAGAGGAATAAAGGAGTTCTAGGTTAACTTAGTTCGATTTTGGCCCTAAGCTCCTTTGTTCATTTCCGAAGAAGTCAGCCGATGACTAATTCCAGCCAAATAAGCGCTATATGTATTCCCACCCTAAGTGTGAAATAATTCTACTTGAAATACTTGAACTGAAAATGCAGTGACATGGCATTTTTAAAATTTTTAAAGAAAGAAAGAATTTTGAACATTGGAATTTTGGATCACAGGTGGTTAGCAGTGGCTAGACATGAATGTTTGAATCTGGAATTGTTCGTTTGAAGTTAGAGACAAATGCTGCCGGTGTGTAGGTAGGTTGGTGTATCTTTAGAGCACTCCAGCATTTAAATGTGAATAATTCTTTTGTGTCTCGTACCATCGCTCGTTACCGTGGTACTGGTAGCGTAGCCTGACGACAAGGAAGTGGATTTAAGAAAACAGCAACATCAGATCGAAACCCACGTCGCAGTGGCCGAAAATGGCTCGTGATCTGAACATATCGCAATATTCCATTAGGCAAGTATTGAAAAATGAGCTCGGGGTAAAGCCATTGAAATTCCTTAAAGTGCAAGAACTACACCGCAACAGAAAGAAAATAGACTCAGAGAACTAAAGAGTTGGTTCGCGTGGCCGAAAGTGGTGAACTGCCGAATTTGGTTTTCTCCGATGAGAAAACATTCGTTGTCCAGCAGAGGTCAGCTGAAAATGTGCACCTTCGGTTGGTAACCAGAACTCAAGCGTCGGTCATTGTGATGATGTTTTTGTACAGAATCCATCCGTTTTTGTACAGAATCCATGTAAAAGCTATTGCGTAGGCTTTCCAACAAATTTCAGCAGTTTAATCTTCCTTAAAGACTGATTAAAAATAAAACGTTATTCGTGGACTAAGCAACCAATAGTAGTACCAAGAAAGTTTTCTTAGATGAAGTGTATAAAATATAAATTTAAAAACAAACTTTTAAAATTGGCAAATTTGTTCTCATCTCGTCTTAATCAAAAAATCGTTTCAATCTTAAAATATACAGGTGTATGGAGAACTCATGCGCGTTGAACCATTCTAAGTTTTATAGCAAATTACTAGAACCATAAAAAATGTTTTTCATTGGTGTCTGCGCCCCATCGATCAAACAGCTGCGATTTTAAGAGTGATACAGACCTGTGAATAGAAGGCCCTACACATGACCACATAGTTAATTTCGATCTAAAAGCGTGTATATGATTTATTAATTGATGCTTAAAGCAATAATTTTTAATTAACAAAATTGTTTTTTTGCTTTACAGAGTTCGTGAACTGCACTAATTTTCGTTTAGGTGTTGTGTTGAATATCATTCGGGAAGGTGAATAGAACAGAAGTGCACAGTGTATTGATTTGTCCCTCTGTTGATGGCTGCTACTAAAATAATCGATGCGCCCCGTAATGGCCACGAAATGGCACCCCTCAACACGAGGGCACGTGGAGATGGTTCGCATGGTGTTACAATTGTCTTAACTGCCCCACAGAGAAACTCCGTTAGTTCCGTTGAGATACCTGGAGATCCAGAGCGGGCAGCATGGTCGGGAAAAATGCAATTTTTCCTCAGCATTATTGGCTATTCAGTCGGCTTGGGAAATATTTGGCGGTTTCCCTATCTGTGTCAACAGAACGGTGGAGGTAAGTTGGTAGTTATATTTAAGCATGTGATACATGTTGTACTGGGTTGATTATTATTATTATTATTATTATTATTATTATTATTATTATTATTATTATTATTATTATTATTATTATTATTATTATTATTATTATTATTATTATTATTATTAATCATTTAAAAAATAATCTAATGTTATTTGTTATGTTTAAAAAAAAAATAATGCGTTGCTTGACTAAAAACTGTCGGCTTTCAGCTCAATAAGATTGGGTTATAGATATAAATCGGGTTATAGATATGCAGGTGTAGTATTTAAGATATATACTTACAACTTACGATGATTGATTGATATTGAAGGTCTCCTTTAACTATAGCACTCATATATATGAGCATGAGCTCTTTGTGAAAGATTTTTCGGTTTTAATTGTCAGTGCATTGTTTTGCATATTCCAATCAAATTAGCATTTTGCGTTTCAGGTTCTCAAAGGATTTAACTCCATTATTTGATATGACTCTTATATACCGAAATATTGAGGGCCGGCACTTCCCTGATCCCTTTCTCGACTAAAAAATATTATAAAATGTGCAAATCAAAATAGAAAATCAAATTTAAAATATCTCATGCGATATAAAAAGTGAGAAAATAAATAAATATATGACAAAATGTAACAAAATTATTCACATTTTTATTTGCATATTTTTTCACGTTTTTTTTTTTTTTTTGGATTTTGTCCTTTTCTGCCAAGAGACCATTCCGAAATGATGCAAATTCTCAAAATCAGTCCAGCAATTCTTAAGTCAGAAGCGTAGTAACATGGGATAGTGCTGTCGTGCATGATATATTTCCTGTAGTTCCTAGTTTGTATTACCCCGTCTTGTATTGCCATTATGAAGCCTTCTGTTTCGGCATATATATTACTGTACTTGAGCCAGTTTGTTGTATTTTCGGAATCGTATGTTTGGTAAAAATGATTGGGATATTTCCCGTCTTGTGGTTTTGATTTCCATGTTTGTAATAATGATTGAATACTGTCGGTAAATTCTGTGTATTTTATTAGGTTTAATGGTGTAAGGTTGTCTTCGGATCTTACTATTGCGTTGTAAAGTGTGCATGTTTTTGCTTTCGTCGTGAAATAGTTCGTTAATGAATTTATTTGTTTATCATGTAAGTTTTGGATATTAAGAAGTCCTCTTCCCACCATCTTCCTTGGAATATATAATCTTTCCGAGCAAGATTTAGGGTGGTGTTGTTTATATCTGGTTAATGTTTTTCTAACAGTCCTATCTAGTAATTTTCTCAAAAGTGACACTCTTTAAGCAAAATAGCGGTTATTCTGTCGGCAAAACGACTATACACACTAACATGTTTGTTTTTAATCCAAACATTGCGAAGTGGAGCATTTTGTAATAATTTGAAATCAAACTTGCAGTTTGCCTCTTGGGATTAAAAAACAATTTGTATTCTAAAACTTTTAAGTATTAAAATGGTTTTGATTACTACCGGCTGCAATGAAATAAATTACATACATTCAGAAATTGAGAAATATCGAGGGTCTACGGAATTCACCTTACGGCAATTTTAACCAATAATTATGCCGATTATGTGATCCCCTACACCACTATGCTTTAAGATGAAAGTTTTTCTAAATGCACAACCCTTTCATTTGGCATGATCGAATCTATAACGGTATTGAGGTGAATAATTAATATGATATTTTTTTTTAAGATTTGGTTTTTGACAAAAAGATCAATAAATTGACATGCACATCTAGGTCGGTTAGGTCTGTGGGAGTCCATGATATTATTCCGAAGGTGTATGTTAAGAGAGGTATTGAGTTTATTACCTTTATGAGGTGCTTTCCATTGAGCGCGGTTTTGCATATCTTTTGGAGTCGATTCGAGAATTCTTGTTTGATTTTTACTTTATGGGCGGTGTGGTCGATAGTTATATTTTGTCGGATACCCAGATATTTGTAGTGCTCCTCTTTTAGAAGTGGATTTATTTGTTGTCCAGCCGATGTGCTAAATGTTTCTCCTGTATTGTACTTACCTTTGGTTATGTTATGCGTTTTACATTTGTAAATTCCAAATGCCATTTTGATGTCTTTGGAGAAGATTTCACCTTACGGCAATTTTAAACAATAATTATACCGATTTCATTTGGCATGATCGAGTCTATAACGGTATTGAGGTGAATAATTAATATGATATTTTTTTAAGATTTGGTTTTTGACAAAAAGATCAATAAATTGACATGCACAACTATGGGAGAAAGAATCAGCAAGTAGTATTACACTTACATATCATAACCAACATTCCATGTATTTCATACGTACGATTCTAACCCATTTGATTCTTGACAAATTTTCAGATAGCCATACAAAAGTTTCATTTTGGGGTTTACCGTGAGCCAACAGTCTGTCCAAAATATCGTGACAATCTAACAACATTTACGCCATTTTCCATTGTAATGGTAATTTAAACAATAACGAACAATTTAAATTCTCGTACACGTTTCCCTATATGCGCCATTGGAATTGGAATCACTGAAAAAATAAAGGAAAACCGGGTATTTGACGGACCTTTCGGTATTTTGAATGGACCCTTTCGATATTTTTCACACAAATTATGGTTAATATTTTAAATAAATATTATTCGATCATCATTCAAGCTTCTGGATTTGTTGTCTGACTTAAACTCATATCTATTGCAAAATGCTGCGATCTGTGCATGAAACTATATATGCTATGTACGAACTACATTAGATGCCTTTATGCCTCTTATCCTCGTGTATGCTTTCTCCGAACGTGAGGCGATGTCGAACGGATATCACTACAAAATGCAGTCGATGTCACATCTTGGCCACCAAGTAGTGTCGACATTCAAAGAAATTTTAAAATATTAATTTGGATGCAAGCAATAAGCAGATCAGATGATACAAAAGAATTTTGATTTTAAATTCGTCTCAATACTCATTAGTGTTGATTTAGAAAATCTGTCTTAATTGGGTGGCCTGTTTGAAACATTTTAATAAAAGTGGAATTTCTTTTCCCTTCAAGGGTGAATCATATATCATTATACCCTCAGCCATAGGGCTAGGGAGGGTATATATCATTTGATACGGCCATAACGTGCCTCATCGAAATAACGGATTTAGACCCTAGGACCAAATCCGTTTCAGGACATTAAGGTCCTTCCTTCTGTCGAAGAGATTATCTGATTTGGTCCAAACTTGTTACATCGTAATATTATTATCAAACTTTGATCGAGTTCGGAGATGAGATTTTGAAATAAAACAAGTTAAGAAGTATAAATTGGTTCTGCCAACAGACTAATGCCCTCATTCGCTTTGTTTGAGCGTTTTGGTTTTCAAAATCTTTAACCCTATGTGGGGCAGTAATTTTGAACCTTTGTTGGGGAGGTACCAGAAGGAGTGGACCTATTTATTCCATCTTCACAACACATCTTGTGGTAGTAGAGACTAAGATTATTTCGCGTTTTATGACGTTCATGGATATTCAAAATGTTGAGTGGACCGATATATTCCATCTTAACACCAGATCTTGAATTTATAAAAATATTTGGATGTGTGAAATTTTAAGACAATCGGATTCTTACATTACATTTTATAAGAGTTGTAATTATTCGAAATTTTGATACTTTGTGGGGGAAACACTTGATGGAATGGACTGATATTGTCCATTTTCGAACCTAACCTAGAACTGACGCACATATTAGGTTTTGAAAAGTTGGAACAAAATCGCATTATGGTTCTCTTCCTGGCCGGAAAATATAGATTTTTGAAAATTTCGATCTTTTGTGGGGGACAAATATTGCCCATCTTCGAACTCGATCTAAGTTTGACAAAAATAATACGGTCCGGAATTGACCGATATTGCCCATCTCCGAACTCGATCTAAGTTTGGCAAAAATATTACGATGTATAAAGTTTGGACCAAATCGGATACTCCTCGTGCGTACCAGCCAGACAGACAGACGGAATGACTGACGGACATCGCTGGATCGACTCCAAATGTCCTAAAACGGATTTGGTCCAAAGAAGCCTAGGGTCTGAGACCGTTATTTCGACTAGGCAACGTTTTGACCGTATCAAATGATATATACCCTCTCTAGCCATATGGCTTAGGGTAGAATAATTTACCTCACAGAACAAGAAGGTATAATCTGATTTTGTTCAATCTTTGCAAATCCTAACATTTGTATCTGTGCTGGGTAAGGTGCGAAAATGGACCATATAGATCGATGCATTTTAATAGGTTTCCCACAAAGTGTCAAAATTGTGAATAATTATAACTCTTATAAAATGTGATAAAAGTGTCCGATTTTCTTCAAATTATAGACATCACAACACTTTTATTAACCCAAGGTCTGATGTGAAGATGGAATATATCGGTCCACTACTTCTGATACCTCTCCACAAATTGTCAAAATTTTGAATATGCATGAAACTCATATAACGCGAAACTAACATTCGATTATATGCAGACTTGACACTTCTCCATATTTCTGTCAGTACAAGACATTTTATAAAGATAGTAGAGATCGGACCATTCTTTCGGTAACTCCACCCCAAAAGGTCAAAGTCTTAAATATCCAAAACGATCATAAAATCCGAAATTAGCGTCAGGTTGTCTTTATATTTCACACATCCCATTATTTCTACTAACACAAGATATGTTGTGAAAATGAGATATAACGGACCACTACTTTTGGTACCTACCCCACAAATGGCCAACATTTTGAATTTGGTCGAATATATATCGGGTTTAATTGGCTTTAATTGTGTGTTAAACACCTATATGATAAAGAACATATATAATAGCCCCATGTGGAAACTAAGCTCAATTTTTGGTTTGGTAAAGAGCTTAGCAACATTTTCATTCAAATGAGCTGTAATTTGGGATTTGTAGTTATAACGTTTAGAATACCGTGCGGTGTGGTATTTAGTTTTGTCCACCTCATAATTAGGGACAGAATGATTTCAGAATAGTCAAAGATA